GAAACTCCCATGGTGCGACCCCGTCCCACGAGCCCTCCTCGGCCACCACATGCGGTAGACGTGTACCAACCGCAGGAGAGGGTCGTGGTATCACAGCTGGCCAGCAATGATGTTCGACCCGCGCTGCAGCCCCCGCGTCCTGTCCCCGAACCAGACCCAACGCTCAAGGATGAGTACAAGATCTTTATACGGCAGCAACCCATAGCGGCGAGATCATGTGGCTTTGGAGAAAGGGACCGCAGGGTGATTGACCCGCCGCCCATTGTGCAGTTGGAAATCAACAACCCCAAGCTCTCCAAGGAGGACATTAGCCAGCGTTACCGCCATCAGTATTATGTCGTGCACTGCACCATTTGGAGCAAGGACGGGACCGAGGACTGCTCCATCATGCCTGAGGAGTATCATCGCCAGCAGCGACGCCTCATGGGAAGTCTCGCGGCGAGCTCTTTTGTTGGCAAAGATGAGAATGGCGTCGAGGGATGTTTCTTTCCATTCTCAGACCTGTCTGTCCGGACGAGCGGAGAATACCGTCTCAAGTTCTCCATCGTGGTGCTTAACCCAGCTCAGGGAAAGATGGGGAAAAGCTCAAAGATCCACTCATCGGCGATGACGGACGTTTTCACAGTCTACAGCGCCAAGGACTTCCCTGGCATGAAGCCTAGCACGCCATTGACGCGCAGGCTCAAAGAGCAGGGCTGCCTCATCTCGATCAAGAAGGGCAACGACAAGGCAGGCGGCGGGCGGGGCCATGACAGCAGCGATGATGAGGCAGAAGAGGCGCCCCCGAACGGTAAGAAGAAGCGCAGAAGAAGGGTTTGACGAGCCACTGACACGAGCGGCGCGAAAGCATCCTCCCAGCTCGGCATGGAGGATATAGGCGTTTTACGGCATTGGCTGAGGACCGCGGCACCGATGAGGCGAGCATCTAAGCTTTGATTGGGATATACAGGACTGTTTGATTTGTCATCTTCTTTTTGCCATCATTCCGGATTTGCGGGTGCTTCTGGGTGTTGATCCCTATATTTCTTCACATTAAGTATTCTTTCTCTCTCTTTTTCTTTGCATCTGCTATATCACGCGTGGCAGTATGCACGTCTGTCCTTTGTGGATTCGCTGGAAATCCGCGCCACGATCGGGTGGTTTCACAAATCATGAGTGTTGGAGAGGAAAGGGACGTTATATGGGCGCGGATTCCTCGTTATTATACCCCGTTGGTTCTCGATGGCACATGGGGGCATGGGACACACACACGGACAGAAACTCCAGGAACTTGCCTGTTCCTTTGGGGGGCAGGCAGGTTGGCTGGCTGAGGCATTGACCTTCGGACAGAGAGGGAGATACGGGCATGACTGTTGGGAACCTGTTTAGCAATACATGGCAGGGAGGGCAAGTGGGATTCTACATTATCTCTACGCCCCGTAATCTTCTTTCAGGAATTGATGTCTGTATTTGCCACACACATACACGGTTATCATGTCTCTCTGCCTCGAAT